ACAGCGAATGGTGTCAGTGCAGCACTATGAAAGGAAATGTGTTGACATTTGAGGACGCTGAAATGATCACCATTTATGGTGAAATAATGTCATTTATAGCTATTGGTATAGCCTTTAAGTAAAAAAGATTGTTCTAAAAAAATATTTTCTCTGTTAAGTAAAAATTTTCCTTGATGCCTCACTGTTTGAATGAGTCATCGTATCCCACACAACATTGATTGCGAGCCAATTGACGACAGTTATATCTGGAAATCGGGCTCACGAGCGTCAGATATGAACGATTCGACCATAATATTTTCATTGGCCTTGGTCGCCTCAAGGCTTACAAAATGGCAGGATGTGAATGACGTTATAATGACGTCATGAATGCCAAGTTGATCTGGAAATACTTCCCCGAAATGCCCTCTCAATTTTCGCGGGCGTGTGGCTTAGAAACTAAAACTATGTAGTTCTTAAAAATGGCAGGGCTATGAACTGCGCCGAATGTTTGTCAAGATGACTACTTGAGCCTAAAATTCCGTACAAATATGGAACGATCCCTCTGTGACACAAAAAGTAATATGTTTTAAATACTTTCGAGTTCAATCAACAATGTCAACGCTTTGTAATAGCGCTACGCTGCATCCCCACAGTCACGAAAGGCGTCGTTATGACGACGGCGGAAAATGCTGGTAGCCGCTCTCAGCTGTTGCTGAATGACGTCATTGATACAGCGGACGGCAAGGGTTATTTGCCGAGAAGAACAATGGTGGAAGTTTAAAGCAGTGCCTCATGATAGATCATATGATGCTCCACTTCCCACAGCTTCAAAAAGAACCATTGTAGTAAACACCATGTGTACAAAGTGAAAACCATAGTATCAGGCTGTCGTTATATCGATGCCTCTACACGCTTTTTCATAATTAAGACGATTGACTTCGGGGGCACACTTTCGTGGTCTTTTAAAAACTCCCTTTCGATGAAAGTGAAGCTACCCATGGTTTTATGGACATTCTGTGAGCAGAAAGCAAAAACTTCGTGGTATTCCGAAGAAGTTTTCAGAGAAAATTGGTACTAATGTTCACATGGTTCGTCTCTGATTTAACAAGAATTGAAAAATAAAGGCGTCACGCACCTTTTTACACGCGCCCGGGTGGCCGCCTAGATACCTTCGCTCGGCTGGCTGGAGGGTCAGTCGGAACCCGCCCCAGATATCCCAGGTATGAAGAAAGTTAGAGACACCAAAATCGCAGGGTGTCTTGACCTGTACATGAACTCACTTAGGCCGAAGTTTGAGCTTGCTTGGTCATGACCTTCAGGTCATATAAGGTCAAACAAGGTCAAATTCCAGGTCGGTCACCAAAGTGCCCCCGGAACCTAGAAAACTGTTTGTAAGCAGAGAGTCAATAGCCCATTTGATGTCAGTGGCCTTGTTTGACCTCTCGAAGGTCATGGCGACCAAAATTATACAAGACTGCTTTAAGCTTTGGGTTTTAATAACCGACAAAGATTACGCTAGGCAGTCTGTTCATAAAACAAAATTTCTACCCGGATCATCTTAGGGTGATGACCTTTTCTGACTTCTAAGAAATCAATGGAAAATGTATAATGCGGTTCCTGCTGTCAATAAATTCGACATGAGCACCACAGGCTATCCCATACAGCAAGCCCTGTGGTAATTTATCAGATCGATTGTGACCTTGGTCTGACCTTCATACCTGACCTTAGGTCAACGCGATTTGCTCATGTAATAATCGTTGTGCCCAAGAAATCATTTCAGAGATGTACGACTTCGTCAAACACTCCGTTATTTTACCGGTCTGGACGATTCCCTAGAAATTGCCTCCGCTGAAAACCATGGAGTGACTTTGACCTGCCATAGATCAGAAACATTACAAGGCACACCTAAGCTTATCATGTCAAACGATCCGTTATTCAATAGTCTATAGCTATGCAACATTTGGCGCGGCTGCGCCGCCCAGTTCGGAAACCGTTCTGAAAAACATTCGGGGGATTAATTCAAGCCCTCGACCCCAGCGCGTATTAAAAAAGGCATAAGTTCATTGTAATGCGAGTCCGTTGTTTTGTCTTGCATTTTGAACTAAGATGTCCATTATTCAGATCATTTAGTGCCGTTCTGAGCCAGGTTCTTGTTGAGAAACCCTCTGGTTTCTAAGTTTGACGCATACGAATATGTGCAGACTATTTCGCGCACTCTTTCGTGCACACTGTTTTAAGGCCGCACATGCATACACCATGGGAACATGACCCAAATGCTGGCACCTCAGCATTTCGCCGTGTGCTTCCAAATACTGGGGTGTACTTATTGTACACTTCAGTAGGTGTGCCAAGTATACTCATTGGTCATGTGGTGCTCAAGGCCAGACAAATTTGATCATTAGGGTATTCGTGCATTGTGCATATCAGCACGATTTCTAGCCTTCAGCCAATGGAATGTGTTCAGTGCAACTGTCGAGCATCAGCTACGTGTGCCATATAATGCCGAAAGTTCTGCAATGGCGCAAATTATTACAGACGTAAGACTGGGATCAAATAACTTGAGAATAGCTGCATACCCGAGCATGTGAATGTAAGCAAACAGTGTAATGCCACGGGCGTATGTGCAATAACACTGCGAAACATTTTCAGACACTCATTCAGACATTTTAAATCATCGTACTGCAAAAGCTAGATAACACTCACGTATTATTTCTGCGGCAAAGCAGAAAGTCCCGCGGAAGGCGCGTTCTTTCCGCACTGATGTGACGTGAGCCCAAAAGCACCGAATTGTGTTTCAACAGACATACACGATAATGGTAATGTAACTGAGAAATGATGCGTTACCGTGGAATTGATCAAACACGATCTAAACGTAGGTCCCGAAATAGTTGTATCCAACATACAAAACCAATTTGCGCTATAATCTAAAACTACAAAATTTAAAGTGATATATAGCTCTTTTACCATACCAGTCTTCTACAACATGCACAGCGCCGAAGATGAACATTGTCAATTTAGAAGCTGTACGAGATATACCGGAAAATCTGAAAGTAGGACCGTGCTTTAAGTGTCACCATTTTTCATTTTAGATGAGATTAGCTCAAAATTCGAGAGATAGAGTGTTAGTAGCCCGTCGACTTAAGGTGAAAAGCCACGCTACTGATCCAAGTTTCAGTGCGTTAGCACCATCCATCCAAGTTTCACTGCGTTACGTCTCGCATCCCACAGATCCTGGCTTCATCGTCTCGTCATTGCTTAAAGTGAACCAAACCGGACGTCAACTACAATCTGACGTCACAGTGTTTGTTCTACTCCCACTCAACACTGCACGGACATCATGAGACGCAATGCAGGTGAGAGCTGGTTGACGCCGATCGAGCGGAGCTCGAGTGTCAGTAACGGGCAAATAGATATTTCTGGATCTTCCATAAATACGAAACCACCATCAGCCATAAACTCCTATTGTACAGATCAACATAAGCTGGGTCTGTTGGAGCTGGCTCGTTTCTATCACTCGGACTGCTGAAATCATTCACGTATAAAATGAATATGTGGTCACGAAATACTACTCATCTTGAATTTAGCGGAGGTTCCTCGCGAATGCAATGAACAGCTTACTGCTCAGCTCCAGTAACTGAAACAAAACCTGAAATATTTTAGGCCATACATTTTGTCCTTGGTTTTAACACCGTTTAAGAAACCTGGCGTGATAAATATACCCCTACTGCTGTCTTGCATTTTATGATCTCACATAAGGCCGGCGTTTTGGACAATTGGTGCAGCGTAGACGGAAAACTCTTAAAAAAGGAAACGGACTAAAAAATATAGAGGGCATGACTCCACCTTCAACGCATTTGTCATAAGAAATGATTTTGCGCACGCCCAACCTATTTGAAAACCAAATGAAAATGGTCGTTCTTATTGCTGCATTTCACTTACGAGTTTAAATGCTGTTGAAAGTTGGGTTGATACATGTTCTGTGCGGAACATTTGAGCAATTGGGAAGTGGGAAGGACTTAACTTTGAGGCTTGAAATAGACAGACCGTCGCATACAGTCGTTGAAATAGACAGACCGTCGCAACTTAAACTTTGAGTTGATCTGCATGAAGGAGATTGCATTCATGCATCTCTTGCACTCAGGATCTTTGTGACAGTGATCGGCAACAAATCAGACGAGAGGTGATGTTACATGAAACACGCCAGAACGTCATACACTGGTAGTAGTGCCAGTCTTCGCGAATTTACCGAGATCCCATAAAAAACGAGACTTGTGTGGGTTTCTATGAGACTCGAGATGACCCGCCTTTTCAGGCGCCTGGCTGGCGCCACTCCTGCTGCTGGCCACGCTGGGAGGCGCCTGTGTGCCCACTGACCTGGACATGAAGCTGCTGAAGGAGGCGACGTCGGGTCCGGTGGCCAACCACGTGATCTCACCGTTCCTGATGTCGCTGCTGATGTCGCAGGTCTGGCTGGGCGCCAGAGGTGCCACTAGAGCCGAGGTGAGAGACCAGTTGGCTGATTTTCATTAAGACCTACCATCTACACTGGTTTCGGGCACATGTGCCAGTCCGGAACCAGTGCAGACAACACCAGCTTTTGGCACATCTGCCAACCGAGAACCCGTGCAGATGCCACCAGTACCGGGCACATGTGCCAGCCCGAAACCTGTGCATATGCCACCAGACCCGGTCTCATGCGTCAACTTATCGCAGGACATACAGCGTGACCCACCGCACTGTGATCTTTATTGATTAAATGCGGAGGAGAGATATGACAACGTTTGCTTGTGTGCTGCACCCAGATGACGCCTGTGCTGGGAATGTCCGGCCCAAAAGACACATCGTTCCTCCATGGCTACCGCTCGGCCTTGGCGGTCCTGTCTGGAGCCAGCAAAGGCGTCACGACGTCAGTATAAAACAGGATCTATCGCAAGCACAGCTTCAGTGTGCGCCGCACCTTCAGCGACCTTTTAGCTCGCTACTACGGAGCCGGAGTGGAGGTGCTACCAAGAGACGCCGGGATGGCCACTGAGGTCATCAACAACCAGGCGTTGGTGGCAACGCGCGGACACATCAAGGACCTGGTGACAAGTGCCGACGTCAGCAACGCCGTACTGGTGCTCTTCAGCGCCGTGTATTTCAAGGGCACCTGGCTTTATCGCTTTGACAAGGGCGGACAGCAGCCGTTTTTGACACCGCGCGGCGATCGGCCGACAAACATGATGGAGTTGAAGGCGGGGCTTGGTTACACCAGCCGACCACACTTCGATGTAGTATCATTGCCGTACCAAAACAAAGATTACAGTTTGTTAGTGCTGCGCCCGCACAGTCGCTCGCTGGCTGCCGTTGCCAGGCTGCAGAAGTCTCTGGACGGTCTGGACGTGTCCCGGTTATACAGCCAAAAGAGTCAGCGGATAGTCCGTGTACTGATGCCGCCCTTCAAGATCGAGCGTCGCTATGAGCTGCCCGCCCACATGCAAAATCTAGGCATCCGGAGGATTTTCCAAGTGCAGGCGGAGTTCGGCGGTATCACGTCGCGAAACATCTTTGTCAGCAACATCATCCACAAGGCGGTAATGGAGGTGAACGAGAATGGTACAACGGCTGCGGCGGCGGGAGTGGTCGTTGTCATATATTCGCGTCCCATTGTCGCGAACTTCACTGCAGACAGACCATTTTTCGTATTCCTCTACCACAAGCGTGAAAAAATCGCATTGCTGGATTGGTGGCTTATACTTGAGGGGATATCATGCTCGTTGGTTTCGCTCTTGTACCGTATCTATCCATCATTTTGTTTTATTTTTAACGTCCAGCAGTAACCACCGGTTCTTGCTTCCATTCGAATCGCATATTTCCATAAGTGCGGGTTTTGATGCTGGTTTTAGTGGACGCACAGAAAGCGCATCGACGTAAATTGAGCTGCTAATAAATGAAGCCTATTGAGCGGGTTATTTGTGTACCAGAAGGCCGGCTCCATGAGGGCTGAAAGTCTCTCGTTGACGCATGATTTCGAAATTATCCAAGTGGTACTCTACTCCATCGTTTTACGCGTATTCTGCTCTTTCGAAATAGTCTGCTCCCGGGTGCACTGAATGCGCGTCACTATGCCCTTTTTTGGCAGAAAGTACTCTACCTGTCATCGAGATAACAATTTCTTATCATGTAATGAAACGCCAAGTATGTCACCCAAAGCTTCTCTGTATTTTAGCAGCTTTTCACGCTCCACAGCATCTCCTCGAAGTGCCTCTACCCTCCCTTCTCGGCGTACGGCGACTGCCGACCGCCGGGGGCCGCGAGCGGGGGCAGCCCGCGAACCCTGCCGACCGCCGGGGCCACGAGCCGGGCCGCCCTGCGAACCCTGCCGACCGCCTGGGGCCGCGAGCGGGGCAGCCCGCGAACCCTGCCGACCGCCGGGGCCACGAGCCGGGGCCGCCCTGCAAACCCGACACCCACCACCGCGGCGGCGGCGCGACCCCGCCGCACCCCCGCCCCAGCAGGGGCGCAGGACACAAAGCACAACTGCACTTCAGACCTATCATTATTGGTCTTTTATCATCTTATCATCTTTTTGTAACCATAATGCCGGGCTCATAAATCAGCAACAGCCCTAGCTTCAAGGTAATGTTCCACACTTGAAGATATCAAAGCATACATCAGAACTCTTGCTATACTTTAAGTATAAAAGACCGCTCTAGACAGCAATTTTCGTCGATTTAGTAAATTTGGTCTTAAACATGTCATTCTTTGATTGCGTCGTTTAAAATACGTGTGACGCTACAAGTGCTTCCACACTTCTCGCACAAAATGGTCACCCTAGTACTCGCTCGTAGGTCTCCAACTCGCCGAGAGATTGACAGTGGCGGTACTGGAAGTGTTTGCTCGAGTAAATATCGCTAGGGGTTCGCGTTTTGGCTTTTCTCGTTCTTGCATATTTGTCCGTGAGTTTAAGGCGTTTGATGAATTCGCATGCTCAGTTATGGCGGTATTCTCAAGTTTTCACTTCTGCGGCGCTGGTCGCACTCCTAGTGTGAACCCGATAGGGTGAGACGGCCAGCGGGGCCTGCACTTCGCTCCGTCGCCTACAGTCGCTGGATCTCGCAGTGGAGGCTGTGTGACTAACTAAGCTAACGTGCGTGCCTTCTATCGTTTCCGGTGGGTGCCTTAAGCTTATCCCCTCAGGTTACTCTATGGCGAATTGGGAATCAAACAGGCTTCGGCATCGCATAGAGAAAAGAGTGCTTTCGCGCCACTTTACCCACATTCCGAGACCACTAAATTTAGGGGACCAAACGTCTTGCTTGCAAGTTTGCGTGTTGCGTAAATGTAGTTATTGATGCAATGCGTGGGAGGTCACATTCCGCGACATACAACCCGCACATGATTATCCGCACATAGCACAATCCGCACATGGAATATGTCATCGTCGGGACAGTTGGCCATGAAAAATATAGCCACCTGTCGGATTCCATACGAAGCAGGCAATCTTTCACTCATTTTAGTAAAGGACATAGGAATGTAGGATACCTGTACCATGTCCCCTGGTGTCTGGCTGGGATTTGGGGAACTTTATATGTAGCAAACACAATGTGTTGTTGAATCTGAACAAACTTCGCGCCGATTTGGCAAAAAAGCTTTCATAACTAATGTTGCATGCTGTTCACTTAACCACCCTGCAAATGGTCTGATAATCTGTCTGGAGCGTGCTGTGCTTCCTCATGTTGGCATTCACATTAGACCCATATGATTCAGAGACCCAGCATTATTACAAATGATTGGCTCATGATTCAGCTCATGAAATTCATGAACAATTTGATTCAGCTTATGATTCAGAGCGGTATTTTTCAAAGTGAGCTGACTCAGCTCACGACCCAGCTTAAACCGATTGGCTGTTAAGCCGAGTCATGATTCAGCTCGAGTCGAACACGAGTCCGTTACTTTCTGAGCTATACGCCCGCGAAGATGTGCAGGCCTTTTCGTACAGACTATTTTTAAGTCATTCATGCATGCATGACTTGATAAAAACGTGATTCAGATCATGCTACCCTATTGGTCACGTGGCGTTCAAGGAAAAAAATGTAATCGTCCAGCCGTTTATATCTGGCGTTCGTAAGCAGGACTGTTGGTCGAAACGGATGTCACTTGGTTCTTAATCGATGTTGAGCAGGCTGGGCAGGGTGCAGTCACGAAGCAAGTTTTGTCCCACACAATGTTGGAATTTGGACGTAAGTGACTTTTACGGACGTGAACTTTTTTGACTTATTAGTGGACTTTTCTGGGAGTGTGTTTGCATTCGAAAAACATTACAATATCGCCATAACTGATAATATAATTGCAAATAAACACCTCACAGTCATGGCAAAATATGCAAGAGCACCACTAGGAAGGGCCAAAACACGAGCACATAATCTTGGTTCAGAAAACATCTCCGGCACCGGCACGGTCACCTCTCCGGGCATTGAAGTGTTACACGTGGGTGCTAAGGTGGCAAATTGGTACGGCCAGTTTGTCATACAAAAGCTCCGTGACACCATCAAGCAATGGTGTATTGAGGGACATATTTACTAAAAAAGAGAAAGCTGCGCTCTAGAACTGTCTTTTTTACTTAACACTCTACATGCAATACAAAAGTTTTTAGCGAGGATATTTTATCACATCTGATGCATGCTTTAATGCTTCCAAATGTGGAGCATTCCTCTGAATTTTGACAAACGAGTTGCCAAGTGCCGAAACGCTTGCTAGGAGTGGAGCCCATTATCTATAGGAATGTATACCCTTCTACGACAGCCTGCATTGATGGTGCATCACCAAGAATCTTTGGAGGTGTCCGCTCATATCGGACGGTTCTCGCCTGAACTGTCGCTTCCTGTTCACCCGCTAGGTGACACTACCTTGTGGTTGGTTAAGCATCCAGTTGTACCGAGTGTGGCCGGGTCACTGACTTCTGATTTTAAATTGTTTCACTAGGTGGCACGCACGCACTGTTTGGGTACCGTTGGGCTTACGGGCACGTTTAGGTAACCGTTGGGCTTACGCGCATGATTCTGGCCCGTGGTCGAACCCGAGGGCGAGGACGTGGATGCCTGTCGTGGAGCCCCGATCCATCGCGAGGAATGCACCCTTGTTCAGTCCAGCTGCAGATTTAGCGTTTTCCACCGGGCTCAGGCTGAGCCATGCAGGAGCTAAATGTGCATCAATGACTATAATTAAACGTTTTTATTATACATCATTCCTGCTTCAGATCTTCAAATGCAGAATATCGCCTTCAAAGGCAGAGGGCAGATAACGCAGATAGGAAAGGAAATGATAGCATACAAAGGGAAATATCCCCTTCAAAGAAAATGTTTCACATCTGAAAATGGTAAAGCAATCACCAGGGATGATAAATCATGCTCACTTATGACTATCGGTATTCTTTGAGGTGAAGTGTTAGTGCCGGTTGAGACCGCTGTCACTGTAGATTGTGACGTTAACGATCTGACTAACACCGCTCTGGCGGGTGACAGCTACGGTGACTCGAACCGGGCCGCTGTTGCTATCATCAACGCCTTTCAACAAGACAGCAGAGACGGACTGGCTACTTGAAATCCAATATCATAGATGCTAAGAAGACCTGCTGCGCAAGAGAGAGAGAGAGAGAGAGGGGAGGGAGAGAGAGAGAGAGAGAGAGAGAGAGAGAGAGAGAGAGAGAGAGAGAGAGAGAGAGAGGAGGGAGAGAGAGAGGAGAGAGAGGAGAGAGAGAGAGAGAGAGAGGAG